AAGCTGCCCGGAACCTGTAGCAACTTGTCTGGGTGCTGGGTTATGTTACCTTTGTGTGTTTTCACTTTCCCCAACAGTAGGTGTCTGGGGGAGAGACTTAACTAGGTAGAGCCTGTAAAATTTCTGTATGATGAATAGATTTTTGTGGAGCTAAACCTCAGTAAACTCATACATGCACTTGTGAGAACCTACATCAGAAAAGAACATAGGAACAAGATTACAGTTCAGTGTTCTGAGGTCCCGCAGAGATCATAAAAAGGCATTTGTTATTTTGTGTATACCTGTCTATACTACAGTCCATCACAGAAATTGGCATCAGCTGTTAGTGAGGTTGACAGCTTTCTATGGTTAAATGTGGGTGAGTTAGGCTCTCTGTTTCTCTGGCTTCTCCTACTCACCCCTACAATTTGGGCATTTTTTTTTTTTTTTTTAGCTAAGCCATCCTGCTACCTGTTGGCAGCTCAGCGGCTGCTCAGCTCGGGCTGGACTCGAACCGCTGTTGCTCAGAGCTCAAACTCTTGAGCGAGCTCTTAACCAACTGAGCCACTCGGCCGGCCCCAATTTGGGCATTTTCATTGTCATTAGCACCTAATATTTGCTGGGGGTATTATTGTGGATATCCTTATTTATGTTAACCTTATACTTCAGTGCTGTGGATAAGTTGTCTTCCTCATGCAATTTCTAAATAATACCTTCAGCATGTGTTCTAATGAAAATTGTAGCACATTACCTGTATTTCCTGGGTAGGTAGGGATTCTGTGATTGTTATGAACTTTTTCCTTGCTGTTAGAATTTTCTGCAGTAAATAGGGCTTTTCATTTTATTTGGCATACATTTATGAATGCTTTCACATGTCAGACACTGTGCTAGATCTGTTAATGCAGAGGCATTAAGCCATGTGGTAAAGAGCAATAGTAGAGGCGGGCCCAGGTTCTGTGGGTGCATAAATGAGGGGTATTTAGCATATTCATGGCGGGTGTGAGGAGGGTAGGGGATCTGGAAAGGCTTTCTGGAGAAGGTAGCACTTAAACTGAGTTTTGAAGGATGAATAAGAATCAGTTGGTAACAAGGATGGCTTTAATCCAGACAAGGCTGGCGAGAAAGGAGCACAGTTAAGCTATTGCTGAAGCACACAGTACCACCTCTGAAATACTCTTGTGAAAAACTTGAACCTGAATTGGATCAAGCCTCTGTATCTAACTTATAATTTACTGGAAATATGGGGAATGGAGCGTGGTTAAATAACACCATGGGGGATATAGTTAGCCAAATCCAAAATGTGGGAAAACAACCTGGTTTTTTTTTTTTTCAACAAATGAACTACAAGAAAAGAAGAGAGGAAGAGGGAACCTATATTCAAAGAGATTTAAGAGACACATCAATGCAAATGCAATGTTGCTCCTTTTTTACTCTGATTTGAATAAATCAACTCTAAAAACTTTATAAGACAGTGGGAAAATTTGAGCATTGATTGGGTGGGCTGGAACAAAAAGGATGGATTTGAGGAATAAATTTTGAGATAGTTACATTTAGATGTTTGGGGCTGGTGGGAGGAGAGTCTAAATTTATGGTTTGGGACCTGAGTACTGTTACCTAAGACAGGAAAAATGGAAGCAATGCACCTGGAGGGGTTTTAACAGGATGATGCTATTGGAAGTTTGCTTTTGGGCATACTGAGTTTCAGATAGCCAGGTAGAGGAGCATCAGTTGGTAGCTTACAGATGAGGTCAGAGCCAGATATGGATCAGTATGTAGGTGGTAGTTAACCTTAAGAAAGGATGAGATTGACATGACCCAACAATCCCTCTCCTGGGTCTATACCCAAAAAAAACCTGAAAACATTTATCTGTGAAGATATACTTGTATGTGCTCCGATGTTCATTGCAGCTTTATTTACAGTGGCCAAGACATGGAAACAACCAAAGTGTCCTTCGATAGATGATTGGATAAAGAATATGTGGTATATATACACAATGGAATACTACTCTGCTATAAGAAAAGATGAAATAGTGCCATTTGCGACAACATGGATGGATCTTGAGATTATTATGCTAAATGAAATAAGTCAGAAAAAGTCGAGAACCATATGATTTCACTGATATGTGGGATATAAAACTGAAGCAGCAAGGCCGGCTGAGTGGCTCAGTTGGTTAAGAGCTCGCTCAAGAGTTTGAGCTCTGAGCAACAGCGGTTCGAGTCCTGGCCCAAGCCGAGCTGAGCTGCCAACAGATGGCAGGATGGCTCAGCTAAAAAAAAAAAACTGAAGCAGCAAAGGAATAAGACAAAGAAACAAAAATTCATAGACACAGATAATAGTTTAGTGGTTACCAGAGGGTAAGTGGGGGTCAAATATATGGTGATGGAAGAACTGACTCTGGTGGTGAACATACAATGTGATATATAGATGATGTATTACTGAATTATACACTTGAAGCCTATGTAATTTTACTAACCATTGTCACCCCAATAAATTTTAATTAAAAAAATTTTTAAAAGAAAGGATAAGATTGCCCAGGGGAGAGTATGTAAACAAGGAAAGAGGTGCTCCTGTGAGGGGCAGAGAAAGAGGAGCCACTTAGGATTCTGAGAGGAAAGGTCAGAGTTAGGAAAATAGGATTTTTAAGAAAATCAAGGAGATAGGAAGTTTTCAGAAGAGTATGGAAACTATGACAGGTATGTGGGAAGGTCAAGTAGGATAAGAACTTGTCAAGTTCCTCTTGATTATGAACATCACAGGCCTTTGGGGAGGAGGTGTGGGGTGGGAAAACTGTGAATAAACCATATTGATATCCTGCAGTTATCAGGTCCCTTTTGAGTGGATTTATAGAGACTGTAGATCATACTAAATTTGTGTTGATTAGCTAGAATTATGATTAAAAGTGAAAGAACTTTTCTTTTATTGGAAATCAAGACCACGACCCTTCATTCCGTTGGAGCTGTTAACTTGAAAATCATGTTCATTTGTGCAGACACGTTCACGTTTACTTGAGTTCTCTTTCTTTGAAATTTTGCTAATTTGCACAAAAAATAGTGGAACTAAGGCTGCCATTGGAGTTCAAACTTTTAGAACTGTGATGCCTCTCTTAAAGCCAGTTTTCACAGTGAGTCTGTTACCACGCTGATACTCTTTGGGGGTAAATGCAAAATCTTAGCACGCAAAGATTATATTGCTTGTTGTTTCCTATTTTCTTTTTTTTAGGATTAATTTTTTAGATTTTTGTTTTATAAGTTGTTTTTCTTTCCTTTAGCTCATTTTATCCGAAATGAGATGAGATAGATAATGGGTGTGGAATTACTGTGAAAAAGTTAAGTCAGTTGAAATGTGATGTGTTACTGTGTCTACCACCATATGACTGTCAGTTTCTCTGTAGGGCTGGAATATATTTATGGCCTTCCGAGCACTCTTATACAGCAAAGAGAGTTTTGGCCAGAGGGAAACAGCCCTCTGCCCTTCCTGCCATCTTCTGGGCAGGAATCTTATAATTTGTATTTATTTTGCTGTAAGTACAGAACTGTGAGAACTTGTTTCATTTGAAAAATCCTCACACAGCAAATTGTACAGCCCACATAGGGACAAAGGAATGACTCAGCCTTTTGGGGATGCTTTTCCTTTAGTTGCTAACCTCTGACCAGACTATCACATAGTCTGGAAGTTGAAATTTACCACCCCCGCCCCCTTTTTTTTTTTAAGACAGTTTGAGAGCTTGGTTGCCAGAAGGGTCCAGTGAGAATGTTTCTGTCTTCCCAGAGCAGCATGTAGCCCACACTGGCTGCCACTCTGTTGTTGCCTGTTGAGTCATTCCCACAGTTCTATATAGGGCTTCTCTGGCTTTTCTTTTAAACATGATGTTCTTGGAGTGAGAAAGTTTTTCTCTCCTCCACAGAATCTCTGCCACCCCAAATTTGCATTGCTTTCCCTTTTCTAATAAGAAAACATTGCCCTCAATCATTCTGAGACTATTTTCTCTTTTAAGGGGCCTTAGCACTTCATTTATCATTTGTCCAACTCTGTAAGCATTCAGTCATTTGCTGGGCTGTTTGCAGCAGCAGACTTTCAAGATACAGGGTGATGTTTCACCAGAAAGATGGAAGAATTCTAGGTAAACATACTACGCATGGATTTCTAGTTTTCAGCTATTTAAAAGTCAATTAAATATGTTAAAAAGCACCTAAATGTTCTTATTAATATCTATTAGTAAAAGGGACTGTGAAGGGAATGAATGGGCTTTTAATTTTGCGTAAGTGAAAATTGTTTAATTTGAAAGGATTTTGGTTTGTTTTTGTTTTTGCGTGGAAGGTAAAATGCCCATGTTCCTTCTTATTCAGAAACTCCTGCTCTGTGCCAGTAGACGAAGAAGTAAAGTTTCTTTATCAGGAAAGGGAAATTTTTATATATTGGAACTGTCTCCTTATGTGTTCTGTACATCCAGCAAGATCATAAGCATTTTAGAAAAGTCAAATAACATCAGTAAGCTGTGTATTCACAGATCACGTGCCTCACATAGGAGCAAGTCAGAGGCTCTTATAGGGGATTGGCAGATCCGAAAGACAGATTACAGCTTTGGAATGTATTCAGATGACTTTTTGAAACAGATATTTTAATTGGAGTGGGGGTGGAGAAATAGTTGAGCTTCTGTAGTTAAATATTCAACTTCCTTAGCCTGTTATCTATAAATACCACAGATGAAAAAGCTGCGGGGAACTCTTTTTCAGAAAATGAATTCACCATACACATTTATTTGTATGTATACGTTTCTGTGTGCCTAATCCTCACCCCTGCCTCCTATTAATGGGCCAGTAATTGGGCCGTTTATTTCACAAGATTGAGTTGTTGGGACTGTGTTTAATCTGTTGCTCTAAGCTGCATTAGCGGCAGAGTTCCTTCCCACTCAGGTTTTGAACAAAAACCTCATCTTCTCTTCTTGAAAAAAGAGGAAAAGAAAAAGCAGTCGATTGGTTTTCTGAAGGCCTCTTTCTGCATTTCTCCTCCCCTCAGATATGAATAGCAAGGGGAGGCGCTCACTCCCTGTTCTAACCACACTTCATATGTTTTAACTTGAGAGCTTTTTGGTTTCCTGTCGGCAGTAATTCAAGTCTGTGCCATCTTCACTTTGCTGAAGGGTAAACTGATAACGGCGCTGAGAAAGGGAGTGAGCCCTCACAGCCAGATTTGAGCATAAGGCATGAGGCTGAATTTATGAAAAGTTTCGGTAGCCCCTGAAGACAACATCTTTCTTCTGCAACTTAGAATTTTTTCATTTTATTTGTGTGCTGTTGTTTCTGAGAAGAATCTGTTATGACTCTACTGGAACCTGAGATGTTAATGATGGCCGTACAGTCCGGTAATTCCTTATTTCCTGCAAATTCTGTTTATCATAGGTTTCTTTAAAAAAGGTTGGGCATATTTGTACTAGGATTGAATGGAGATGGGGAGGAAGGTAGATGGGGGTACATATAAATGGTCCAGAAAATGTACTGCATTTTCAGTTTTTTATTGTAAAAATATTAAGGTTTTTTTTATTGCAAATTCTAGTTATTCAGTGATAGCTTTGAATTAGATGTTTACTGACCTTAAGACTGTTCAGTGAGGTGACCTACGTGGGAGAAAATATCTATTTTTGTTTAATCAATTATTTTATTATCTGTGGCATTGTTTTTAATGTAAGATAATTAAATGCTTTTGCGATTTTATACATTATTGTCTTTAAGCGCTATTTTTATGTCTTTTTGTGAGAGTATATTAAATAAGTTTTCCTTAGCTGTGCTTGCTCTTTTGTGGTATAACTTCCTTTCTAGATCATCTTTTGGGTCTTTGGAAATGCTCTTGATAACACATAGGATCGAGACTCTAACTTTTGGAGATGGGAAAGTTTGAGCAAGGAGGCAGAACAGAAAGAACGCAGGATTTTTGAAATTCTGTCTTTAAAATCAGTTTTCCCAATACAAAAGTATCTTTTAAAACATTTTATAATTCCAGTTTGTTTTTAATGGTTTCTTTTACTTTTCATGTTTTTAAACTTGAAAGTTAGATATCTAAAAATAGGGAATGTTCTTTTGTTATTTTTAGATTTCAGCTAAAATGTAGTCTGTAGTGTTTTCCTGTTTCACAGCATATCTTGAAAGATTCATACAAATGGCATTTGGGGACCTCTTCCCATCCACTGGCCTTCACTCAAAAGAGAATGAGACTCCTTAGTTCTGGCAGATACTGTCTCTGGCAGAATTGGTCTTACTGTTCTCCTTGGGGAGCGCTTAGATAGTATGTTGAAAGGCAGATATCCATCTGAAGACAGGATCAGATGCTATCAGGTTAAGCTTTATGGACAGGTAAGGGGCAAAGAGGAAAGATTGCTGCTGTTCTGTTCTTTCTGGTTTTTCAAATAAGACTACGATTAGTCATTTATTCAGTTTTTTTGTTCATGTATGCTATGTGTTCCAGGTTCGCCCCCCCCTCCCCCCCCACCCCCGTCCGTTGAGCTCTGTGTTCTAAACAAGATAGTGTGCTTATCTGAATGTTTCCCATCTGTCTGTAATGAAACAGCTCCCAGTTCTACTGACTCAGGTTATTTTTTTCTCTCTGTAGTCTAGTTCTCTGCTGTCTGCAGGCAAGAGCATATTTTTATCTCAGGGAGTCGATGTTAGCCTTGGAACTCCCTCTCCCTTCTTTGATCACCTTGTTTCTTACAGATCATCTCAGTCCAGTAGCTTTTCTTAATAAAGGTTAAAAGATAATTTGCTTTCCCCTAAGGGGGTCTCACTGTTCTCAGCCTGATAAGGGAAAGGGACTTAGCAATTCTTTCTTGTCTTGTCTAAGAGCTGTTTTTCCTACAACATATGTTGGGCAGGGCTAGCCACCCATCTGTTGGACCAACTCCTTCATAAAATTTTCAAAGGATAATAGTATGTAAGACAAGGATGGATGAAATTGACAAGGGTGTTGGATTCAGGTAGAATGAACAGTCTACAGAGAACAGCATGCACATGGGCCTCTTTCTTTTGCCTGTGTGTGTAAAAGTAGAGAAACTGGGTGTAGGAAGGAGTAATAGCAAACTGGTTTCTCCAACACTTGTGATTCCTAAATGTTAAAAAACTTTGATGTGTTGGTTCTGTGAAATCGTTACTGTTTTCTTCTGAAGCTGTGACCTTCAGAAGCAATTATGGATTGGGACAGTAATATGACAGCTTTATTTATTTATTTATTTATTTTCTAAAATTTTTTAAAAAAGATTTTATTGGGGAATTGGGGGAGGGGAACAGCATTGAGGAATCAGGGAAGGGGAACGAACAGACAAGTTGCTGTCCTTTTGTTCTTCAGTTTAGTTGTGGAGAATGTCACTTCACTGGCCCATGTTGGTATTATCATTGCACTCTTGCTGGGTGAGGCAGATCGGTCGCCGGTCACTGGATGGCCTCTCACGGCGGCTCTTGGTAGCTCATGTTGACTGCTGGCTGCTCATGGTAGCTTACAGGAGCCCACTGCAGCTCCACTGCAGCCTATGCCGTCACTGGTGACTCACAGCAGCCCAGCTCCAGGTCGAGCTGTTGTTCACCATCTATTTTAGCTGTAGAGGGCGCAGTATCACTGGCCCTCATGTGGGATCCGAACCGGGGTCCTGCTGCTCAGAGCTGGTGTCCCAAGCCAACTCTTAACCAACACGCCTCTTGGCCAGCCCGACAGCTATATTTATGATAGGAAATTAAAAAGCATCTGTTATGAAGCCCTAGTAAACTAAAAGCCAACCATTCTTTTAAAAAGTCAAGACATTTTAGACTATGTGAGCCATAGGCTTTCTAGCAATAAAATATTTAGACCTCCATGAATATATGTTTTATCGGTAGAACTACTGTTCAATGAGATTTTTAAAGTATCAGACCCCTTTAGACAAGATTCAAGATGCGAAGTGTTTACCATAAATTAAATTTTAGGATACTGACTATTATAGCGAAGTTCCAGGGTACACTGTATACTTATTAACAGTTTTCATTTAGTATTTGGAGCTTGGAGATTTGGGTGAGGCATACTTTCATGTAAAGACTTCCATCCTGCTTGCGGCTGGTGGTCTCTTCCTGACCCTTTGAGATCCCATTCAGATTGCCTTTCTGTGAAACCTCTCGGTAGTCAGCCCTTCTTCCTCTCTGTTCCTGCAGAGCCACTTTTGCAATGCAGACTAAGTATCATTTCTACCTGCCTCCCTAATTAGGTTATTAGCTTCTCAAAGGCAATATATTCACCTATATGTTGGATCCTGACGTTGGCACATGTAGACCCTCAGTAAGTTTGTTTTTTTTTTTTTTTAAATGACTGAAGAAACCTGATTTGGCACACTTCCCCTAATAAATAGGCATAAGCCTTTCAAATCAGGGTTTTATCAAAGTATTTTGATATCTGTTTTGCATTAAGAAATGAATCCTCTAACCACCATTCTGTATCTTAGCCAATCCTGTCCGAAGCAGGTGCTGTTCAAAGCATGACTTTCAAACTGAAATTCTTTCACGTCTCAGGATGTCTGCCTCCCTGTGATGTGCATTGCTAAGCCTAAGTGTTCTGATCAGCCGCAATTAGAGGGTGGAAGCATCCCTCACCACTATGGAAACCTATCTATATCATTGTGATTAGGAAACTAATGATCTCAGAGGGACATTTGGGATTTCTGAAACTAAATTAAGACTAAGGGGGAATATTGGGGCCCCATACTGATCTGGTGTATTTCAGAACAGAGCACTGCTGGGGCTCAGGTCTTGACAGCAAGTACATAAGGCTGTGACTGGGCAGCCCTGGCCCAGCATTTAGCCAGTGCAGTCTTCTTACTAGTTTATAACTGTCCAATAGTGGGACAGAGTTCCCTTGTGGAGAAAAGGATTGAAGCAGTTCCCTAGGTATGCTTTGGTCCCATGACACACACCTGATCTTGATGAGGCACAGTTAGGGAGTCAGTTTGTCGTTTCTGTCTGGTGTGCACATATGTGTGAACACCCACCCACTCACCCACACTGCACCCAGACACACCCACTCTACCCACACCCTTCCCCCACAAGCTTGTCTGTGTATAGGCCATCTCTGGAAGGAGCGTAAGGAACTAGGAACAGTGACTACCTCAGAGAAGGGGGATGGAGAGCTGGGCGACTGGGGTAGAAGAGACTTTTTGTTCCACAAAACAATTGAGTTCTGTTTTAAGTTTATTATGATTATGGACTACCCCATAAATGCAAAAGAATATACAGAGTATGTATTACAGCAATGAATACAGGATAGAAACCCATGGACACATTATCAACCTAAGAAATAGAGCACAGTAGACACTGAAGTCCTCTAAGTGCCCTCTTTAGTTTATCCCTTAGAAAACGGTTTTGTTTGCTTGCTTTTAACTGTATATACCTTTTGAATCTTGTTTGTACCACATGCAATGCTACCTTTTATTAATAATTTTAAAGTGTTTTCTTAGTCCATTCTCTCATCCCTTGATGTCTATATACTTAATCCCTGCATATTTCTTTTTTTTTTTTTTAAGATTTTATTGGGGAACTGGGGGAGGGGAACAGTGCTGGGGAATCAGGGGAAGGGGAACAGACAAGTTGCTGTCGTTTTGTTCTTCAGTCTAGTTGTGGAGGATGTTGCTTCACTGGCCCAAGCTGGCACCATCATTGCGCTCTTCCCGGGCGAGGCAGATCAGTCGCCGCTTCTGGACAGCCGTTCACGGGGGCTGCTGGCCGCTCACGCTGGCTGCCGGCTACACATGGTAGCTTATGGCAGCCCACTGCAGCAGGGGACTGCAGCCCACGCCATCGCCGGTGACTCACAGCAGCCCAGCTCCAGGTCGAGCTGTTGTTCAGCATCTTAGCTGTAGAGGGCAGTGTCACTGGCCCTCATATGTGGGATCCGAACCGGGGCCCTCTGGCATCCCAAGCCAGTTCTTAACCAATGTGCCACTCGGCCAGCCCCCTGCATATTTCTTTAACTTCTAGTTCTCTGATCGTTACAGTTTTCGTCTGAACTGTATATTTTATACTAGTATGGATTGGAGAGAGGGGAGTAGTAATTCAGAATAATAAGGTTGAAGTAAGATGGTGGGCAGACATATTCTGCCCCTTTTGGTAACATGTTAGCTCTTTAAGGAAGAGCTTATGTTTTTATGTTTATGTTCACATTACTCAGGGGTCTGTAGAGCTAGTGAAAAACTCTAGAACCTTCAGCAATACCTACCTTTCTGATCTCCCAATACACTAAATATTAGTGTGGGCTTTAAAAAAAAAGCATGCTTTTGTTTATATTCAAGGGATTTTAGAACTTGGAGGAAACCATAGGCATTGTTTTGTTCTCTCCTTTATTTAAGATAGGGAAATA